CTCTCCCTCTCTCTCTCTCTCTCTCTCTCTCTCTCCCCCCCACTCATTCACACACACACCCATTCTGATAAATCTGGTTTTGCCGCTTCCCCTCCCCCAGCACCAAGGATATCGGAAGATCCGCTTCAGTTGGTCGTCCACGTCGTTGCCTGGAAAGAGGGGCCGCCCTGCATTTGCCAGCTCTGGGGAGGAAGATTGGGAGGAAGCGGTCAGGAGCCCCCAGGCAGACCTTCCCCCTCCTCCCGAAACCAGAGCCCCACACCTCAGCCGCACCTGCAAAAATGCAGCCAGCAGACCACATGTCGATGGAGGTGGAGTAGAGTTTGGCCCCAAAGAGGACATCTGGGGGGCGATACCAGAGGGTCACCACCTGTAGGGAGACCCCATCCACGGGGGTCAAGGTCAGGGAGCAGCAGAGGGGAATTGCACAAGAATCCCCATCTCCTCCCAAGCTTCCTGGAGTGGAGTCCCCTGCAGAACTCTGTCTGGTGCAGAGAACAGAGCCAGTCCAATGCTGCAGAAAGGCTGGGAGTGGAAGATTCTATGGAACTGCCCCCCACTGCCCCCCCCGGCTGGGCACAGCCCTCGCCCCGGAACAAACCATTCCCTGACCTCCGTGGAGACAGGAAGAAGCAGCCAGGCGTGCCCTCCTCTCCTGGCCTGCGTGCATACACGTGTGGTCTGTGCCACTTAGGGCGTGGGAAGAGCAAGGGATCCCAACATGCTGTCAGGAAGGAAAGGACCCTCGCCCTCCTGGGACTGCAGCACTGTCCCCCAGGTCCACCATGCCTTCTCTGCCAAGGGCCACACTGGCGGGCTCTACTCACCTCAGCCGAATAGCAGCGCACTGGGATGCCAAAGGCCCGTGCCAGCCCAAAGTCCGCCAGCTTCAGCTCCCCGTTCTGCCACAGAAGCAAGACAAGCAGTCAGGAGAGGAAGAGCCCCCCCCCGGCCCAAGGCTTCAGATAGGGAGGACAGGCAGCCCAGAACCATGTTCCTTGTTCACCCTCAGGGAGGGAGGAATGAAAGGTGGCCCCAATTTCACAAACACACCCCAGACAAAACAGCTGGAAACCTTTCAGTGGCATTTGGGTAAGCAGGGAGAAACGTCTGCATGTGAGGCCCCGAAGCAATCTGATCAACATGGGTGCTTTTCTGACCTTTCCCCCTTCCCTGATTCTCGCCAGGAACAGTGTCTGTCTCCTTATACTGGGCCGGGGGGCAGCAGAGGGGAGAAACTGTGAACCCCAGGAGGATGGGCATGACAGGACCTCCAGCCTCCCTCCAGAGAGGCCCTTCCCGGCACCAGGATGCTGAGCTCCCCTTGGTGGCATTTGCCCCAAATGCTAAAGCTGAGACGTGATGCCCCCCAGACCACTGTGCATGAATTGCAAGCTGCCTGGGGGGGCCAAGCCCACCTCCAAGCTTCTTCGGGAGCCAGGAGAAAATGGCGGCACCCCTTGCTCAGCCACCTGGAGTCAGGAGTTCTTCCTCAGCAGGAGCTGCCAGGGGGGTGTTTAGCAAAGGAGCTCCCGCCTTACACTCACTCGGTTGATCAGCAGGTTCTGAGGCTTCAGGTCTCGGTGCAGGACGTTCCGGCTGTGGCAGAACCCCAGGCCCTTCAGCAGCTGGTACATAAAGGACTATGGAGAGAGGAGGGACCTGTGCCAGTGCCTGAGCCTGGCACTTGCCCGTTGCTCTGCAGCAGTCCAGGAGCATCAGCTGTTTCTCAGAGCAATGGCTCTCTGCCCTGGACAGGGACGCCCGGCTCACCTTCACAATTTCAGGGTCCAGATCGCCATTGCAGCTGTCAAAATACTTCTTCAGGTCCTGCAAGGGAGAAAGAGGTCAAAGAGGGCAGGAGTCGGCGGTGGGGCTGGAGCTGCCCTGAGCAGGCTGCCCTGCGGTGCAACAATCCCCCAACTTTTAAGGGGGGAAATTTTGCCACTTCCCCCCTTCCCTTTCAAAGAGCACAAACACGGTTCTCACAAAGGAAGGAAAAGGGTGAGAGAAGGCAGAAGTCCAACAGGGCAGAATTTGGAGCTCTTCACAAGTGTGCATCCCGCCCTGTCCTACTTGGCAACGGTGTCTCCACAGAAGGAGTGAACTCACCAACTGTGGCTTATTCAGTTCACAACAAAACTAAAGTTTAATGTGACAATGAATGGCCACCAATCCCCCCCCATGACAAGGCAGCCCACTGCCTTCCCTCTCAGCAGGCAGTGCCTTTGGCATTTGATGCCAAAGGAACAGCTCATGCAAGGGGGTGGCAAACAGCTGATGGTGAGGTAGAGGGAGGGGAGGGGAGGGGAAGGACGGACGGACGGACCTGTGGTTCCTTGCATGGGGGATCTGTGGTTCTTGCTGCCATGCAATGCAGTAGAGGCACCAACTGGGAGGGCACCATATGGCCATTAGAGAAGCCCGCAAGGGTCAAGGCCACCGGAGCCAATAGGTGAAGATTTGCTCCCAGCAACGCTCTTCACTGGGAAGAGAGGTGGGGTGGAACAGAGCTTCCAGAGAAGATTCGGATTTGGGACACTTGCTCTTTGCCCTATGGAAATCTAGGGCAGTGCCCTTCATCTCCTTACCTGGTCGCAGAACTCGAAGACCAGTGTGAGCTTCTTGTCGCTGTGAAGGACGTCATGCAACCTGGAGGAGGAGAGGAGGTCCGGCCATGCGTCTCAGAGCATCACCTCCGCCTCCTCGCTCCCAGCCCTGCTGATCACGCTGCCCCCTACGAGGCGATGGGACTCAGGCACTCAGGAGGGTTTGCAGCTGGACCAAGGAGGCCTCCACCAGAAGGCGCCCTGCTTGGTTTCCCACCTGCCCTTTGAAAGGGCTCGCTCTGGCATCCCGCTCAGCGGAAGCCAAGGAACGTTGACCAACCCCAATCGAAAGCATGGTGAAGGACCGGCCATCTCCCGCACACAGGCAGAGCGGCACAGGTGACCCCCTAACACAGGAGCAGGAGGCGCTTCGGAACTACAACTTCCACGCGCCCTGTGGGGGGAAGGGGTACAATTTCCAAGAGGCCGGAACCTCCCCTCCGCCTCAGGAAGGCTTAATTTCCGGCTGATGGCAGACAGATCAGCCCAATTCCCTGGCAGCTCTGGGCCTGAACCTGGTCAGGTGGAGCCTGCAAGTCCCAGCCGGGAGGGGCCCAAAGGCTGGAAGCAGCACCCAAGACGCCCTCTCTGGATGTGGTGGCCAAACATTCTACGACCGGAGTCTGCATTTCTCCCAGGGTGGGACCTGCGTGGCCATGGGGCGCTCCACCTGCTTCTCTGACTGAGGCGGTGTGGCCTCCTGCCCACCAAAGGCTCCTGCAAGCCCAGGAGGAGTAAAAGGCTAATTAATTAGCTCCTCCAGCCCTTTGTAGGGCCAGACTCCCCCAGAACTGTGGGGAGAAAAGAACCCCCCCACACAGCGCAGCTTTGGCACATGAAACAAGCGTGCAGGATTACAGGAGGGCTGTGCTGAAACACCGGCCAGCAGATACCCTCTTAGGAGAGAACAGCTGTGAACAGCCACGCTGCCAAGGTCCTCGCCCCAGAGAAGCCAAGCCTGCACTAGTGGAACGCTCCTGAGCGTCCTGCCACTGCCAAGCGGGTCGGGACTGCTCACCACCTCTGAAACCAAGCTCTCCCGGCTGCTTGTCCCTGCCCCAGCGGGCAATTTTGAGGGTGGGAGTAGGCCCCAGATGGAGCCACGCTGCAGAGCAGAAGATAGGAACTGGGAGCCCTCCCCTTTGGCCCCATCTTCTCCTGGTGGGCAAAAGCTCCAGGTGGGGAGCCCCCCAAGTTACCTGTTTTCGGGAAAGGGCAGTGACAGAAGGATCAGGCTGCCATAGCACAGGACTCAGGGCTGGCTCAGCCCAGGCCCCAGAGGCTGCCGGGCAAGGCGGAAATGGTCCCGAAAGGGGTCTTCCCGCCACCTGACCGGAGCTGCCAGCCTGGTTGATCAGGTTCCTCTTGGATGGGCCAGGGGTCCCCTCCCTTCTAGGCTGAACCCTGGCCCCCCAAAAGGGGGATCCCAGCACGTCCCCTCCCCAGTGGCTCACCGAACTATGTTCTTGTGTTTGAGTTCTTTGAGAAGGCAGATCTC